CTCCCCATGGGCCACATTAATGGGCATTTTCCTAAGATTTCAAAGAGTCTAAACTTCAAAATAAGTTAAAAGCATTTGAGAAAGATAGGAATATTTCAGAAAAAGACAGCTATGTAGTATACTTTTACTCAATCAATATGTACTGTGGCCTAAAATTACACACGAAGCCTCACAGGGATGGAACTCTGATAGAGGTCCACATGTGCATCATACAGCCCCTTGTTCATGCAGAACAGAGACTGATGATTAAGGGGCTGCTGAGTTACTCAGGTTGCAGGACTTTGTTGGGGGAAAGAAGGGATGGGCAAATAATTTCAGCAGCCCTGCTAAGGGACTCGATAAGTCAAACCCAGAAGGGTCCAAACTGACCTCATTAGCTTGACAGCTATGGCATACAGGCTGGACTGGTTTCTCAAGCTGTTAAATACCACTGAGCAGCTCCCTATCTCAACTTTGGAAAATGGACATCAAGGTGAGGTATGAACAAACCCTTTGTCCTCTCCAAGGACTGAGGTCACTTAGTTCTTCAGGAGTAGATCTCATATAGATTCAATACTTTTTTTCTAGTTTGTGGCAATTTTCTCAAAGCTAGGAAGATTTTTGTTCTAGTGATGTAGTTATTTTTCTCTTCTGTAGGATTTCTGTGTTTATGGTTCTTCACACCAGGATCTCTCTCCAAGGTAGACTTGACAAACAGAACTGTGTTATTCTGATAAATTCATAAAACTCTTCAGATGCATTATAATCTTCTTATAGTATGATTCTCTATGATGCAAGAGAGAATACAAACAAAAAAACAAAAACACATGTTTTCCTTGTCAACATTACCCCTGTTTATAGGCATCATAACTGGGTTGTGGTTCTTCATCCTCAACATGTGGCAGTGATGCTGGCCTCTCTCCAAGTCTACTTCAGTTTCATAACATGTAACAAAAATTTTTAATGCCTTTTCTAAGAATCCATGATATTATTTTTGGTACTGGGGATCAAACTTAGGACCTTGCACTTGCGAGGCAGTCGTTGGAAACACAGTAGCTAAATCCAGGGCCCCAATCCATGACTTTCTTCATAACAAGTACATGTATCTTTCTTCTAAAATACTAGCAGAATTTTGGAGACTTTTAATCCATGAAGATGAAACTTTATTAAAATATGACAGATTTGGAAGAGCTTTGAACATTTCTTTTGCAACAAGTCAATAAGTCCCTTTCAGGAAAAACCTAGTTAAGAAGAAAAATTAGAAATAAGGAAAGAGGATATAGAAGCGATAGAGAAGTTATGGTGCAGAAGTTAGATCCTCTGTCATGGCTGAAAATTTCTGGCGCCAGGGTATGTGATAACATGTTTGGAGGCTCCCTAGTGATGAATCCTGTGGTCAAAGGACCCGGCTGAGAAAACAAATCAACTTTTTCACCAGTGGAAGGAGGGAAGAGGCTGATAGGGACAAAAAGGTGAAGATGGTTCTTTAGCTAGAAGTCCCTAAAAGCATTCTCTGGGTACACACCAAATGCACACTGAATTGCCAAGGTCAAATACAAGGGAAGTTTATGAGTTTCACATCAGTAAGATGCCCTTAATTCTTTTGGCATCTTTTGTAGTGTCTTCATACATGTCCTTATTAAGTCATGTATATAGGCAAAACTTAATTTGAATAATAGTTTAAAAAGGCAACATCATACTTCTTCATCATTTCCTTATCTTCGTGATGTTAAAGAACAGCATATAATTTGTTTGAAACTGGTATAACTCTTGGGACTGATCATTATTTCCCAGAGGAGTCTTACTGAGGATTGGTACACAAGCTCACTCTTGTGTCTTTGGAAGACACAGAAATTCCACGGGTAAACTCTTGAGGTTTTTTGAAGGGTGTTTTTGCTTTGTTATTTTGCCATCTAACTCACAATGGTATTTCTGTTACTTTTTTTCTTATAACCATGCTCATTATATTTTGAAAAGTAGCAAATATAATTTTAAAAATCATATCACTAATAGTTTTATACTAAAGATCACTGCTATTGACATTTTGATACACAACCTTCTCATTGTTTTCCTTGGGACTATAACTCATAGAACATATAATGAGAAATTTTTTAAATTCAAAAAAATGTGCATGATTCACATTTCTCATTAAAGAGACTTGTTTCAAGCCTAAACAAATTGTTAGCATTTCGAAAGTAAACTAAGTAGAGTAAACTTGCCTTTGCTGTCTCTAATATTTCAGCTTCGCTCTCAAAACTGTCCCACTCTGGGTTTTTCACATAATGATTCTAAACTTATGCTCTTCTGATTACACCATTTTTTCATTATACTGAACGTACTTCTGTTCCTGAAATTTTTCAAACCTTTGAACTTGTCCATTTTTGCCTAGAATGTTATTTTGCTTTCTCAGACATTTTTGTGGATATTTTAGTTTCATTTTTTAGATCTTAGCTTCTTCCCTCTGAGCCCTCCCCCTGCCCTGAGACTTTTCAGTCCCATTTTTATCCTTTGATAAAATTTCCATGAGTAATCATTGTAATAGTGGACCCTTCATTTACTGTTTATGCTATCCTATTTATTGCAACAGTGCTCTTTATCTCATATCTGTTTGATATCTCCATCAGAAGGAAAATTCAGTGAAGGGACATTATACATTGTCATTTTATCTGCTGTATCACCAGATGTATTTCACCTGGGAAGGAGTACTTGTTGAATACATAAAGGTCTGGACCAGAAAATATCAGAGAATGAAAAGCACTTGAATTTCAGAGGGAAAGGTCTGGGCACAGATGATTAAGTTTCTACCAAGTTGTAAGTCCTAGAATAAACAGAAGAAAGTGTGCTTCATGTTGACCAGTGATATATTCAGGAATAGGAACAAGTAAGTGTTTAGTGTCCAGGTATAAGTATGCCATTTGTCAGAAGAGTAAATGGTATAGCCCTTATTTACTTGTAGCCAGATACATTTAATAAAACATTTAATAAAGTCCTTATTGCCTTAGGGACTCAGGCAGAAATTCAATAACTACTCATCACTAATCTTGCCAATTGTAATAATTGTATTATCTGGGTTTCTAAGAAATTAGGAATACTCAAACAGGTAAATGCAAGTGCTTTTTTAGATGAGTATATAATGTTTATAGCAACTACATTCAGGTATAATGAATATATTTGTGAATGGATTACTAGAAATATTTACTAGCAAAGATAAAATTAGATGCTTTGATATATTTGTGTTAGCCCGCTTTCTGTCACTGTGACAAAATACCTGAGATAATCAAAGTAAAAGGAGAAAGAATTTATTTTGGCTTGTGTTTTCAGAGGTTTCAATCCACAGTTACTTGGTCACATCCCTTTAGGCCACTTGTGACATAGTACATCACGATAGGAGTGCCTGGCATAAAAGTTTGTTTACCTCATGCCAACCAGAAAGCAAAGAGAAAGAGGAAGGAGCCAAAATCCCCATATCCCCTTCAAATTCCTTCCACTAGGCTCAACCTCTTAAAAGTTTCACCACTTCCCCATAGTGACATGGGTTAGGCACCAAACCTTTAACACAGGGGCTTTAGGAGACATTTCAGATCTCAGCTGGAGCATACTGATGATAGATGAACTGATATTCTTCATGAAACAATGGAAAACTATTCAGAGCACTTTACATAGAAAGATCTTATTTCCACCCACTTATTCTCAATCTACTTGAACCTTCGAATTACTGATTTTCTTCTCTTTGGTCTCCTGCTTTTTCAAAGTTTTTTTCTTTTTTGTTGATATTCATCTCTTATTTTACCTTTTTCAAAGAATGATTATGGAAAGTTCTCAAAGCAGCAAAGACATCTCCCTAGCTCTACTGAGAGTTTATTAGAACATTTACACCAAGAGACATGGGTTATGGTAGTGATATTTTTAATGAATGCCATAAGGATTGTATATTTACCATGAAATTAAAATTACAGATAAGAGAAGAAAGGTGTTTTCTCAGGAATTCTTCATAAGGAAGATCTTGAACCAAAGACTTACATGCAAATACTTTACTTGGAGATGAGACTCAAAGAGGTAGAAAGAAAATCAGATAAGCAAAGAAGGAGGGAGAACCAGGTCAAAGATGCATTATGAAATTTTTCACTGCTATAGGAAACAATTTTTTAATCTACCTGGTCTGGTTAAAAAGGCATATGAAGTTTCTATCAAGACTATCACTAAAGGAGAATGAAAAGAAAAGGCAAAGCCATGGACTTCTAGTACCCAATAGCCATAGATTCACCCTATTGGATGATAGTTTTCCAGCATTTTCAAGTTGCACAGTTGTGAGTGCCAGGAAGGCTCTCAAAAGGATCCACCTCCCCATCATTAAGGGAGCTCCTTGGCATAATGTGAGTGATGTATGGTTCAGACCTGAGGTGAGTCACTGTCAGACTGTACCTCTGTGAAGATGGGTGGCAAGAATAAGAGACAGAAAAGTACAAAAGAACTTGAAATAGAACAAATAAATATGTAAAATATAGGGGAAAGGGTAACACAGACACATACAAAAAAGACGTAAGACAAGGGTAAAGACAGAATAATTAGCCAGCCGTGTGACTTTATACATTGCAGTACAATGCAAACTCAGACCCTTAAGCTGTGAAATGAAGGAGTTGCTCTAGTTTATTGGTCCTTAAGGTTGGCTGACATTGAAATCATCTGGTAATTGTTAAAATTATTAATGCCTAAGTCCCACCACTATATATTCTGAATTTATTTGTTCCATTTAGCATTGGGACCTTAAAGAAATTCCCTAGGTAAAAGTAATATGCAGGCAAGATTGAGAACCACTGGTGCAGAATCTCAAAAGGACCCACTGAATTCTAATATGCTATGATTTTTCATGTTGCTTTTGGAAATTATAAAGAAAAATATTCCTCAAAAATCTTTTTCAGATGGACATGCTTTATAAGAACTTTCAAATTCAGTAAACTTATACTTGTATTTCTTTATTTGAGAATGTTATCCCAGAGATTGACAAGATATTTATGGCTTCCTCAATTTTAGCTGGATTGTAAATTAAGTTAATTGCTTCAATTGGCCTTTGATTAATATGTTTTGCTTCTTAAGAGTAAATCTGTTGCAATTTCCATTGGCTGTATAGCCTAATTCTTCTGAACATCTGCCTCGTGATGCTCTTGCCAAATTCTTCTGAGGAATTACTAACTGGAAACTATTTTTTCCCTATTTTGCAATAATTGGGCTGATTTTCAGTTGGTCATCTATAAAAATACAAAATATGGAATGCATATTCAATTTTCAAAATTAAAAATACAGATAAGGTATAAAGGAGAAAGATATCAAAAATGCCTATGCCGCTATTATACATGTCAGAAAACATTTTTATTACACCAAAGATCTCCATGAATGAATATGCCCTTGCATTCTAACCTCCTACATTAATACCACTCAAAGGTGGCCAATGTCTTTAATTTTGCACTTATTATTCTCTTGGTTTTCTAAATTGTTTCAATATACAAATTAATAACACTAAACAATGTATAGCTTCATTATCTGTATTTTAAAACTTTATATGAAGTCATATTCTTACAGTTTTCCTCAAGTAGTTTTTTTTTTTTTTAACTTAGATTCACTGGAGATTTAGTTATTCTGTGGCTACAAATCATTTACTTTTACTATTGCATAGCATCTATAGTAGGAGTAATTTATCAATTTGTGAAAGTTAGCTAGATAAACTACAGTAACGAATCATTCTAAAACATTCAAGGGCTTATTTTTTGTTCACACAATGTCTGATGCAGGCGTACCGTGTTGGACAGCTCTTCTACTTGGCTGTTTTCCAAGCGGAGAACCCAGTGATCCAAGCTCTTTCTGTTGTTTCCATCCTCTATTTTTCAATCTGGAGTGCTATGAGAAGATGGAGAGAAGGGCACATGTGTAGTGTGTCTGCACCTCAGTGAATGAGAAAAAACAGAGGGCTGGGAGAAGGAGAAGAAAAGGAGGAGGAAGTGTGGGAAGAGTTTCAGGAGAGGAAGAAAGAAAAAGAGAAGGGGTAACAACATTGAGGCTTTTATAACCATTACTGAAAATGTTGTACATAATTTTTCCTCACATTTTAGAATCAATTATGTGACCTTACATGGCCAAAAGACTGGAAACGATAGTTTTTCTATATGCTTAGTAGGAAAATAAAATGACTTGGAAAACATGGCATTTTACGCTATATCATAATACTTTGATGAAAATTTAAATTATTTTCTAGTTTTTCTTTATTACAAAAAGTGATATTACTGACATTCTTTTATAGATCCCAATGTATATTTGTAAGAATTTCTCTAGAATGGTGGCTTTGGAACATTATATTTTACTGTAACTCTCTAAATGAAATATATTTTACCTTTTCACATAACCTATAAATATGCACACATAAAATTTAAAACTGAAAGAGAATTTTCACTGAGAAGTATTTACCTATTTTTTCAGACTAGACTAATTCTTTTTAATATATCAGAGTACAAACTGATTCATTAATAGAATTTGAATATTACCTTTAAGAGGTTGCCACTTATTCAGACTTAGTATTCAAGATACAACAATTATTTCAAAAGTCTATTAAAATTACTCATCCCTTTCCAATCACGTGTTGTTATGATTTTCTTCATATGTTCCTCCCAAATCATATCACAATAAATTGACTACAGAAGCTTGTGTGAGAAAATAGATGTTTCCAATTAAGCCAGACAAATAGACTTGGAAAAAAATCATGTCTTACTTCTTACTTTTCACTAATTTTTTGTTTAATTAATTAAGTAATTTCAAATGAATAAATAAAAATGTATATACTTATGGTATATCACATTATATATATGATTAAATGTAAGTAATTAACATATTTATTGAAAATTTCTTGGAGTGTGGAATTTAAGTGTTCTGACCACAAAATAATAATCAGTATATGAAAAATCACGTATATTAATTAGCCATTATTCCTTAAATAATTTTACCAATTTATAGCTTTCAGTCTGTTGTTTCAATCTTGTGCAAATTTTAGTCCTATCTCTTGAGTAGAAAGAAATCCGAAGGCCAGTATTCAGATATTACCCCTCTTTAGGTACATTTGAAGAAAACTGACATCTTTATTAGTCAGCTTTCCCACCACTGAGATACAATACCCAACTTTCCACAATTTATAGGAGCAGAGGTTTAATTTGCCTCATGATATCAGAGGATTCAGTTTATGGTCACCTGGCTTCAAGGCAGAAACATCATGGCAGAAGAATATGGTTGCCCAAAGATCCTTAGTTCATGGTGGCTGCAAAACAGAAGAAAACAACAGTACCAAGGAGAAAGGAGCAAGGGTCAAGGTGTTCACCACAAGATTTTGCCTCTATGACCACCCAGATATACTTCAAAGCATAAGATTCTAATCTCCTGGGTAGCTCCCAAGCCAAGCAAGTTGATAATTAGCCTTAACTGTCACAAGATCTTAATATAATTAAATTATTTTAGCCATAAATATGGTTTTATAAGTCATTTCAGGCTATCATATCAGAATACTAAAATTGTGTGTCTGAAACAATAGAAATTTATTTTCTCATAGTACTGGAGGCTCAAAGGGAAAAATCAAGGTATCAACAGGTTATAGTGAGGTCTCTCTTATTGACTTCATTGAGGTGATTTATAATTTTCATCAAATTTGTAAAACTTGTGATACAAGGGGAGAATGAGGGAAACACAAATAACTGATGGTTACAGAGAAACGGAAAGACACTAGGTCCTATGACAGATTTCAACCTAAACATTCACTAAAATTGAAAGCCAACACACTGAAATTTTCAACTGGGTAAGCTAATAATAATTTTCTGCCTAAGCCAATTTAGTTTGGAGTTTTTCTGTCTTGCATTTCAACTTGTAAATTTGGAATAATCTGCTGGATTCAGGCAGTTATAGTGTCAGAGAAATCATACTTTTTAAAACTGCTTTTTAGCTTTCTGGTATTACTAAAGTGATACTTTTTAAAATTTCTTATTAATAATTTTTAACACATATTTTAGTTTTGTCTTTTACTCCAGGGACTTGATATCTTATGAAATATGTTACATATAATCATAATCTCAGTAATTCATCTCCTTGTAAATTACATCACCAATTCTATGCTGTGAGATTTAAAAAATTCAGCTTCACCTATTCAGTTGAGTAATGGATTCATTTGCGTGAGAGAAAGTATATTTTGTCAATCAATTACTTTAAGGCTTTTCATATGCTTAGTGTACACAGTTGCAACAACAGAAAAAAATGAATCATTTGTTATTTGAGTTCCTGGGAAGGGTGCAAGCTAATACAACATTTTTAAGATTGAAAAACTTTTTGATAATAAGATTTTGTTGCCTAGGGAAGGGCTGTGGGCATCAGTCTTTACTGAAAAATTTTTGGAATAGAATCCTTGTTTTTCTTAAGCCTTCAGAAAATTTCATTACTTGTGTCCTGTGTCCAATTAGGGAATAAAATAATATTACAAATTATAACTCAGAAATGAGGAAAGGTAATTAAGACATCCTCCTACTAAGCCCTCAGCTCCCCACTAGCCCATTGAATTATCCAAGACAATCACGTCTTTCTATGAGAATTAGTGCTCACCCTATCATACTGTCCCAATAATATATGCTTCCCAAAGACCCTATTGGTTTACTTTATTCCATCGTACAACTCCATTGTGTTCCTACATAGTATATGTTTCTCCCCTGGACTATGAGTATAGATTTTTTTTAAAACAGTAATATTTTCATCCATCCAATGGTAGATGTGTGCGGATAATGCCAAGGGTAATCCATCTGTCTCCAATGAGGTAAAGAGAAAATGATCAAAATTAAGTATAGTGGTAATTGGCATTATTGACTCCTTGCTTATATGTTGAGACAATACATAGATTTATAATTATCTTCCCTTCAATTTCTCTCCCTCTCCTCTTATAATATTGTATTTTCTTGTCTCCAGAATCCATCATGAGAAAAGGAAAATTGATGAAGATCAAACTACCTTTTAAAGTTGTTGAAAGTCTGAACCATTTTTGTTGAAGAGAGTGAGCTGGAAAAGAGGAGGATGAAATTCTTTAAATATAGAACACACTGAAATAGAGATGCTTTCTTCAGAATCTGTGGCTTTAAGGTTCATCTAGGAACTCTGAAACTTAGTCTGATTGTCAGTGTTGGCAAATACACCATCTTATACTCTTTTCATGTGACACTGGCTTATATGAACTATAAGGTCTTGGATGGGTCTGACAGGAGAGAAGACAGTCCTTTTTCACAGTTTTAACTTTCACTGCCCAATGTGGTAAGAACTAAGTCAGATTTAAATTAATTTAAGTGCAGAAATGCAAATTTTATGAACACATGAGTTTAGGGTCTATACCATCTACATTTGCCAAGATTGTTTGCTTGGGTTGGCCAGTAAATAAGTGGTCACTGTCTATTTTAGGTAAAACATTGTACAATTCCAAAATAATGATAAAACAATCAAAGAAACAATCTTTGTCAGTAGAGTTAAGGACTATATATCATGTGAATTATGAAAGGGCTCAATGAGTCTAGTGCGTCAAATGTGATTATCAACAACAGCAGCAATGAAAATAACAGAGTATGACCAAATGACACAACCTTCTCTCTGCCCTACAGACTGGGCTTGAGTTTTGATAACATACATAATACCCCAGTTATGACATGTATTGTTTTCCTGTAAGTATAAAAACATCCCTGGTTTAAAAGATACTTGGTTGAAAAGAATATTTTTGTTACTGGAAAGGATACAAGGCCTGGACAGTAGAGAATGTTTCAGATACTCAGTCCAGAATCTAATCTCCACAGAAGCCGGGTCTGCTAATCCACAAAGAAGGTAACCATTCGTCACTATTTTAAGATTCTTCTTTTATGGTTTTGAAAAATCTTAACAACATAAGAAAAAAAACTAAATAGACAATCACAGAGTGCTCAAAAGGAAACCTTTTGGTGTTTTTCTCTCTGTGCCTTCTGTCTCCAGTGTGTCTTCTATATCTCAGTAGAATTAGGGATTGCAGCTAAGAAATCAAGTCATCCATGATAAAAAGAGAAGACAGGTTTCAGAACTATTATGAAATTTATCACAGATGAGATTAAAGTATTAATGTACATTTGATAAATTCCCTTTCTACCTTTTCCATAGCAGTAATAAAATAAGTATTAAATAAAGAATCACAAGACTTAGATTCATGTCCTGTGCTCACTAATTCCTACCTGTAAAGAGGGATCTTCAAGGTAAAACAGAAGGATACTAATTAATAATAAAAATGAATGAAAGTATTAAATCCATCAGTAAAGAGCCACATTCATAATAACATAATACTATAATAGTGGTGTGTAAATTATTTATAATTCCAATGTAATGATTAAATAGTGCTAAAAATAACTATATAATAATTTATTTGTACAATATGAAAATGCTTTAATAGTGACTCTACAAACAAAATACATTTCAAGAATAAAAGTGTAGAATTTTTGTATATGATGGGAATTTTATTTGCTAAAAATAGTCAAATATAACCCTAAGGTATATTATGTAAGCTTTATATTAACTACAAAATATGTAGTAGATCAAAAAAAAAAAGAGAAAAAATCGAAGCATACCAATATGGAAAATCATCAACTTACAAAGGAAGATAGAAAAGGATGAAGGATAAATTTAATAAATAAATAAACAACAAATAAATACATGAAAAGGACAAAGGAATAAAAGATCTAAAATCAGTTAATAAAATTTCAATAAGACTTTACCTATCAATAATTACTTTAAATGTGAATTAGTTACATTCTCTAATCAAAAGACATCAAAAAACTTAGATTGATTGAATTCAAGTATTCATGTGTATTAACCTTAAGGATGTACATATCCTGAAGCACCTAAAACTGAAATTACTAGAAGAAAATTTAGGGTAACTAAAAGTCAATCAGTGGATAAATAAATTTAAATTTTGTAATATATATAGAATAAGATATTATTTAGTTCTTTACAAATATGTAAATGCAATATTTTCCATTCTGTAGGTTGTCTCTTTACTAATTGATTCCTTTGCTATGAAGAAGATTTTTAATTTGATATTATACAGTTTGTTGATTCTAACTGCTATTTATTGTGTAATTGGGGTTCTGTTTAAAAACTCCTTTTCTATATCTATGACTTCAAGTGCTTTACTTGCTTTATCTTCCAGTAGGTTCAAGGTTTCTGTTTTAATGTTTAGACGTTTTATACACTTTGATTTTAGTTGAGTACATGGTGAAAGATATGGATCCTGCTTCAATCTTCTGAAAACAGATTTCCAGATTTCCCAGGACCATTTGTTGAACAGGCTGTCTTTCCTCCAATGCATGCTTTTGGACCCTTTGTCAAAGACCAGATAGCTGAGTGTGTCTGAGGGTACTTCTGAATCCTCTGTTCTGTTCCATTCATCCACATGTCTGTCTTGTGCCAGTATGATGCCATTTTTATCACTGTTGCTTTGTAGTATAGCTTGTAGTCAGGTATTGTGACACCTCCTGCTTTGCTCTTGCTTCCCAAGATTACTTTTGCTAATTCTGGGTCTGTTCCAGTTCCATGTGTATTTTAGGATTGTCTTCTCTAGATCTGTGAGGTATGCTGCTGTTATTTCAATTGGGATTGCATTGAATCTGTATAACAGTCTTGAGAGTACGGCCATTTTGACAATACTGGTTCTACCTATCCATTCCTATCCATGGAACAGGGGCCATCTTTCATCAGACAAAGGACTAATATCTATAATTTATAAAGAACTTTTAAAAAGCTTAAAATAAAAGACCCAACCAAGAAATGGACAAGTGAAATGAACAGACACTTCTCAGAAGAATAAGTACGAATGCCCAACAAATATATAAGAAAATGTTCAACATCTCTGGCCATTAGAGAAATGCAAATTAATGCTAAGATTTCATCTTACACAAGAAAGAATGGGTATCATTCAGAAAAACATATCGGCATGGCTACAGTGAGAAAGGAACTCTCCTACATTGTTGGTGGGAATGTAAACAAACTAGTACAACCATTATAGAAATTAGTATGGAGATTTCTCAAAGAATTAAAATTAGGAATTCCATATTATCCAGCTATTCCCCTTTTAGGTATCTTCCCCAAAGAGCTAAATCACACTACAGTGATACCTGCATACCCATGTTTATAGTGGCATGATTCATAATAGCCAAATCCTGGAACCAACCTGTAAGCCCACCAGCAGATGAATGGATTAAGAAATGGTATCTATACATAATA